TTAGAGAATCAAAAATATTAATACTTTAAGTGCATAAGGATGTGTTGTTTGAATACTGTACCTATACAATTAGGTATTATAAAAACAATAAACCTCATTAGTTTGTCTATATTTTGTCAATACAATCAAACTGCAAGTTTTATACACTTTCTATAGAAAACATCGTATAATCCAATCCAAGTCTTTTTTAGTCTTTCGACTTATCGATTACGTTTCAAGTCTTTCAGATTCTTTTTGAATTCTGGATTTTGTGCATAATTGTAAATGATACTACTGGTCTTATACAAAATTTTCAAATTTCTGCGAGGAGAGATAGAAAATAAATTAAGTATTTCTTCTTTGACCTGCGTTTTGAAAAGTTTCAAGTAACATTCGATGAAATAAAGTAAATTTAATAAAAAGTATATATGTAGAGCAGGACGAAGCACAAAGGTCCAATTTGACTTTGAGCAAATATTAATTATATTGTGAAAATCAAACCAATTATATCACAACAAATAAGATATTTCAAACGAACAATTATGTGACTACGTTCAGTAAAACTGCCAGCTACATCGTCATTGTAGAAATGTGCTTTTTTGATGTCTTTCAAAAATTTGTTATCTAGACCTTTTTACACTATAGACGGAATAACTTGGAACGGCCAGGTGGCAAACAGGCTTAATGTCTTATTTTAATTTTAAAGGTGTTTTACAAAATAATTACATTTTTACCGAATGCTAAAAAACTACCAACGGTAAAAAATACTTTTATTATGGATTTTCAAAGATTAACGTTTATCTCCCGATAGCAAAATCATGAGCATCAATGTTATAGCTGGTTATACATCTTTTTCCCTCTACTTCCAAATATTGTTGTTAAACAATGCTCAACTTCACTGGTTTTTGACACATCGGTGGTGGACCTTTTTAGCTCCGGAAATTATAACTGGGAAAATATTATTCGACAAAATGTCCATTTGATCGATATCAAATTTAGGTTCTGAATTGAAATAATATAAATAAAAAATAAAAAATAATATAACCTAGAAAATATTTTATAAATACCAATGAGTATATAATTATACAAATGACATCTTTCAGAGCACCGTGTTTGAGAGAAATATGTCAAAAAGTGCATTTTCATATTAACATTTCAAAAAAGTTGATATTTTGAGTTTCTAGTAACAGTTGCGGCCCGTTTAATAACGTTTTTGTGTAAAAAACCTACAGACAAAACTACTTACTACAATTTAATCATAATTAAATAATATTCACGTAAAACATCCTATTAAACGTAATTGAACATCATCTGTCAAAAACGTTTGACATTTGACGTATTAGCCACTGTCCATTGTTTTATTCAAATTACGCTCCTACAAAAATTTTCAAATAAAAAATGTAAAGTTTCTACGCGATTTTGAAATAAAATCTCACCTTTCCGATAGACTAAGACTGGCCAAATCGGTTTAGCCGTTTTCGAGTTTTACCGAATCATTTGATCGAGAGCTTCATTTTTATATATAAGATTAAATATTGTCAATTTAGCTTATAGGAATCTTTATGTATTTCTGATTGCTGAATAAAACATAGTTTTCTCAGCTCGATTCGAGTTGGTTCGAAGAGGATATTTTTCTGATTCGATCAAGATTTGTTTCTGATTCGAAGAAGATTTTTTTCTAATTCCAATCAGATTTTTTTCTGATCGACTTCTCTAATTTTTACTACCTTTTAGGTTCTATGTATGTTCTTCAGGAGTACCTCACAATAAAACATGCAGCCCCGGATTGTTGTACCACGATTCTTTGCACGTTTGTGATTGGCCGGAAAATGTTGATTGTTGCGAAAACGGAGGCGAAACTCCGGAAGTCACTGTTGCACCTAAACCGGATACTACTGTTGATCCGGATATCCCAACAGGTAAAAGATAAATTAGTTATGAGAAAACAGGAGCAACAATTTTCCCCAAAAATTTTTAAAGATAACAGTTGAGAAACGTTTCTCTTAAATGTGGGAGATCGATGGCACCTTTTCTTTGTAGTTATTATTTAAATAAAATTTGGAAATCTTAAAAAATTATAAATTTAATTGTCAAAAATATCATAACTGGTTGTTCATGTAACAGCTTAGCGCTTTATTTTCAGAATAAACAGTTGAAAATGTTATCGCTACAATTTGAAAAGTTTCTCAATCTCACATATATGTTATGTAAAGGATATGCTTAAGAGGCACAACTAGGTAACCGCCTAAAAAAAGTTGATTTTTGGGAATTTATATTAAAAAAACTACTTTATCAATCATTTCAAAATTGGAATATATTTATACATGTTTTAAGAATACATAGTAAAATTTTTTAAGTTATCGTCGATCTCCAACGGCGCGACAAAAAAAGCCCTTCACTGCTGCAGTGATTCCGGCCTTCTACGTAGACGAAATTAAAAAAAAATTATTGTTAAACTAGATAATATTGTCTGTAAAATGAACTACGATAAAGAAAAAAAAAAAATTGGCAAAATGACGGCGTTTTGTAAAAAAAATCAAATTTTGCTCAAAATTTTGGTCGCTTTTGGACTGCCAAAATTCGATTTTTGATCTGATCAAAAAATCGATAGTTTATTTTGCGGAGAACTATATGTAGAATATGTAAAAAAAAATTGATAGTGATCGGATCATTTGTTTTTGAGTAATCGCCGCAGCAATTTCGGAAAATGCTGTTTCGAGAAAAACGCGTTTAAAGATTAAATGATCGTTATACTATTACTATATATATATACTCTTTTAAATGGATGTAATTCAAAAACTATTTAAGATATCGATTTAAAATTTTGGTATGTTATTTTTATAGGTATAACCTATCAAAATATGGAAAACTTGAAATTTCGATTTTTTGAAAATTTCACACTAGTTGTGCCCCTTAAGGCAAAACGAAACTTACACCTAATCAGTATTATTCTTTTATTTTTGTTGAAACGTTCAAAATACGTATTTGGAATGGATTAACCCAAAATACCGAATCTTATCTACATCTATTTGTGAGATATATAAATCCAATAATCCATCTTTAGTCATTGTTTAGTGATCAAATGTGATTTTTTGTCAACAAAACAAATAACTAATTTGGACTGATAACGTCGATGACTCGAAATCGTGGAAAATTTTAATTCCAAGCGCCTTCCAAAAAAACGATACCAATTTTTGCAAACTTTGACTAATTTTTAAAGCTATACCAGTTGTCGTAGGGCCGTAATATTTTAGTATGATCTAGAAGACTATGGTATCTACCGTCCAAATAATAAGAATAAAAATCGTGGAAAAAAAATTTTTCAACACTTTATTACAAGAAAACGGCTCACTTTTCTGATATTTACAAAGAAACGGTTCGGCTGATCGTCGCGCAAAATTGATAAACGTTAGTCCTCATTGCGATACATCGAATGGCTTTAAAATTTAAAATCGGTCCAGCCGTTTTTGAAAAAACGTCGATTTACGGCAAAAAAATCTGTTCACACACACACACACACACACACACACATACTTTTTCCAAATTTGGTCTCATTCGATTCAGAATGGCTTGAAACGTCGAGAAAACATAAAATTAGCGAATCGGATTTTTTGATGAAGACATAAACTTCTCCTTCGGGAAGTTAATAATCATTTTTAAAATAATCATTTTTACATGTCGATTGTTCTTGGAACAATCCACGTGGTTCGTTTTTGACAGAAAGCCGTATGGCATCCGTAAGGCAAGGCTTGTGTAGAAGATTTACATAAAACAATTAAATATTCATATGTAAAGCTCGCATATAACAGCGTGAATAATAATATGTGACATAAGGATTAAAATGAAATATATGAAACTTACCACATGAATAATTGGAAGACACAAACACAAAACGTAGTCAATGAAAGTAATACTTGCACAACAAGCATGTTCGTGAAAAAAACCTTCCAAACCTTCATCACTAATCATAATTACTGTTTTTAGCAAATGTTAATGTAAATTTATTGTGCAACGTACACGAAAACACTATACACTTTATAATTTATCACAAATTTAAGAAATTTGTTGTAAAATTAATAAAACGTGTTAATACTTTGACGTTTCATTCACGAAGAACCGTCCTACTGTCCTTTTTGTTTCGCCGGAAGTTGGTTCTATTAGGGTGCACGCACACGGCGACAGGTTGTAAGGGTACTGTCACACCGTTCATGTGACCAACTTCTCGCAGGATTAGGACATATTTTATTAAATCTTATGTTTAAATTATTATTTAATATCAAATTTAGAATAATTTTACCTTAAAGCCTTTCTTTTTATATCATAATGCTATCCTGATGTTGATTTAGAATAATTTTACCTTAAAACCTTTCTTTTTATCTCAGAATGCTCTACTGATGTGGATTTCATCCCCAACTTCGAAGACTGCTCATCATATTACCAGTGTGAGGGACAGGAATCGATACTTCTACAATGTCCTGACAGTCTGTTCTGGAACCAGGATAAAGAGATGTGTGATTTTCCTGAAAACACCAAATGTTATATTTTGTAATTAGAAATAGCTTGACCTGTAAAAATCAAACTAACATAATAAATAACTTAATTATTAAGTATTAATCAAACAACTAAGAACTATGTTCAGAAGAATTCCTTGCTAATTCTAGAAATGTCTTTTTTTTTGCTTATTAATTCTCCATTCGAATAAAACATTTTGTTCAATACTGTGTCAAAGTGAGTCTAAGTTTTTTATTTTAATATAATATAAAAGTTTGTATATATAATTAAAAACACACACACATATATATATATATATACATATAATATATATATATATGCATATATATATTAACAATAAATTTGTACAATTTAAATCTAACACATATAAAGCATTTTTTATATAATATATATAGTCTTAAAATTATTTTATCATAAATATTTACAATATATTACATTATATATATATATATATATATATATATATATATATATATATATATTTATATATATATCCATTATTAGAGTATTCATATATTCACAGTCAGCGGAACTAAAAATAATTTCTCCCAAGGCTGTTTGATAGCACTAATTAGAATCTCAATCGAGTTTTTTGTCTCCAATTGAATCTTCCACGTTTCCATTGCTGAATTCTTCAGCTCGTCAAGAAAATTAAATGATACACATTTATCTTTGATATCCTAAAAATAAGAAAATTATTATATAATAATAATAACTAAGTGCACAATTGGCATGAACTTCATATATGTTAATTTTTACCCTGCAGAAAGTAAATTATACTACTAATAACAATAATTATTATCCCACTTACAATTTCGACCAGGTTCATCATCGGTTGCTTCCTGCTAACCACAAATTCCTCGTCATTGTCCACAAACAGCCACGTCAAATCCTCAGCAACAATTATATCATCACAAGTAACAATTAAACATCCGCTAGAATATTCCACTTTATTGTCAGTTTCGAAAGATTTAAAAATCATAAACAATTGCAACTGTTGCATTTTGTTGGATGTTAAAATCGGTGACGAATTCTGCGACCCTGCTGCCTTCTCTTCGGTTAATACTTTTTGTAACTTTGTATTGAGACTAGTCGGTACCGAGCAGTTTAAGTTGCAGGAGGAAGATATTTTGTTTTCTATAAAATAATATTGTTGTTTAAAATTGTTGCAATGTAGATTGGTATTTTAGTTACCTGATAAATAAGCCAATAAATTGTTGGTCCTCTGTACGTCTTTCAGTAAACACAAAGCAGTTAAATTAGGACTAGGTTTTGTCTGTTCTATATTAAATGATATTCCTTGCTTGTAAGGCAATAGGTCTATGGAACACAATTTGTGTATTTGGAACGATTGGTGTTTCTGAAGCCATTTGCTCGGGTCACCTCTGAAATATAAAAAAACATTTGACAATACTGCAATAAATACTAATGATTATACTGCCACATATATATATATATATATATATTATATATATATATATGTATATATATGCCATATATCTTTTACAGAATCATTTATTAATTATCTATCTAATTACCTACCTTTCCTTGTCAACAATCTTCAATATATGCAGCCTGGTATTCGTCAACACAAAACAACCCTCCAATTTCGTCAAACTAGATTTGTCAAAGTTCTGCAAAACAATTTCGCACCTCACCAACCACTTTAGGGTCTCATTGACATCCGTGAATATATTCTGGTACAGATGCAAAGTCAATCGATGATCCACAATTGAAAAGTCTTGGTAGGAATAAGAAAAGAGTTGATTGCTGGAATCGTCAGGGTGAGATTCCAAGTTTTGTGATGGTGAAGTCTTCGAGTCATCGTTCGTTTTTTTCATTATTAGATTGTTTGCACTTTGAAATAAACCTAAAAAAAATTTATATTTAGTTATTAAGATACCTTGATAAGCTTTTCTATGGCTAAGTTCTTAATATTTATGAATAAATTCACATGTTTTTATTTTTTTTACCTTCTAGCATAGATGAAATAATAGAAGGGCTACTCGACAAGTTACTTTTACCATTTTTAAAATCAGAAAGTACTCCATTGTTGGGTGTATGTGATTCACTGGATTTGTCTGAAAGATAAATATAAATATAAATATGTAATTCACGATATACAAGAGTATAAAAATTTTGTAATAAAGAACTTGCATTGAATTTATTAGTTAAATATAAATGGCAAATAATAATGTTCAATTTTGAATGTGATGTGATAATTTAAAACATTGCTGTGATGGTCTTTAAGTAGTCTTTTAATTTTATTTTTGAATATTTCAGAAAAACAGAAAAATTTGTGGGGTAATATGTGTAGTTTTTGCTTTTTCTTTTAATAACTTGAGAAGCAATCCGAATACAACATTTTCAGACAATTTACAATTTTTTCGGACAACTTACAATACTTTTAGACAACTCACAAGATTTTCAGGCAACTTACAACACTTTTAGACAACTCACAAGATTTTCCGGCAACTTACAACACTTTTAGACAACTTACAACATTTGAAGAAAACTTACAATATTTTCAGACAACTTACAACATTTTTAGACAACTCACAACACTTTTAAACAATTTACAAAATTTTCAAACAACTTACAACATTTTGAAGCAACTTACAACATTTTCAGACAACTCACAACATTTTAAGGCAACTTACAACATTTTTAGACAACTTACAACATTTTGTGAAAACTTACAACATTTTCAGGCAACTTACAAAACTTTTAGACAACTTACAAGATTTTCGGGCAATATTTTGAGGCAACTCACAGCATTTTCAGGCAACTTACAACACTTTTAGGCAACTCACAACATTTCGAGGAAACTCACAACAATCTCAGGCAACTTATAATTTTTTCAGACAACTTACAACACTTTTATACAACTTACTACATTTTGAAGCAACTCACAAAGTTTTCAGACAACTCACAATATTCTCAGACAACTCATAATATTATCAGGCATCTCACAACATTATCAGGCAATTTTTGAACAATTTACACGATTTTCAGGCAACTTACTATATTTTCAGGCAACTCACAATATTTTCAAACAACTCGCAAAGTTTTCATGCAACTCACAATATTCTCAGACAACTCACAATATTCTCAGGGAACTTTTAAACAATTTACAATATTTTCAGGCAACATACTGCATTTTGAAGCAAATCACAACATATCGAGACAGCTCACATCGTTTTCAGGCTACTCACAACATTCTCAGGTGACTCACAACATTCTCAGACAACTCACATCGTTTTCACAAATTTCTTAGGCAACTCACAACATTCTCAGGCAAGTCACAAAATTTTCAGACAACTTACAATATTCTCAGGTAACTTACAACAATTTCAGGCAACTTACAACATTTTGAGATAAATCACACCAATCTCAGGCAACTTACAACATTCTCAGGCAAGTCACAAAATTTTCAGACAATTCACAATATTCTCAGGTAACTTACAACAATTTCAGGCAACTTACAACATTTTGAGATAAATCACACCAATCTCAGACAACTTACAACATTCTCAAGCAACTCACAATATTCTCAGGCAACTCACAACATTATCAGGCAACTCACAACATCCTCATGCAACTTACCACATTTTTTGACAACTTTTAAACAATTTATAAGATTTTCAGGCAACTGAGTTGTTTGAAAATACTGTGAGCTGTCTGAAATTAATGTAAGTTGTCTAAAAATGTTGTGAGTTGCCTGGAAATGTTGTAAATGTTGAAAATGTTGCGAAGTGCCTGAAAATGTTGTTAAGTGTCTGAAAATGTTGCGAGTCGTCTGTAAATGTTGTAAGTTGTCTAAAAATATTGTGAGTAGCCAGGAAATGTCGTGAGTAGCCAGGAAATGTTGTAAGTTGCCTAAAAATGTTGTAAGTTGTCTAAGAATGTTGTGAGTTGCCTGGAAATATTGTGAGTAGCCTGGAAATGTTGTGATTTGCCTGAAAATAATGTGAGTTGTGTAAAAATGTTCTAAGTTGCTTAAAAATGTTGTAAGTTGCCTAAAAATGTAGTAGATTGTTTAAAAATGTTGTGAGTTACCTGGAAATGTTGTGAGTCGCCTAGAAATTTTGTGATTTTCCTGAAATTGTTGTAAAGTGTCTGAAAATGTTGCAAAGTGTCTAAAAATATTGTCGGTTTTCTGCAAATGTTGTGAATTGTCTAAAAATGTTGTAAGTTGTTTAAAATTACTGTAAGTTGTCTGAAAATGTTGCAAGTTGCCTGGAAATATTGTGAGTGGCCTAGAAATGTTGTGATTTTCCTGAAAATGTTGCAAAGTGTCTGAGAATGTTGCAAGGTGTCTGAAAATGTTGCGAATCGTCTGTAATTGTTGTGAGTTGTTTGAAAATGTTGCAACTGGTCTGAAAAATGTGTAAACAGCCTGAAAATACTGTAAGTTACTTGAAAGTATTGTAAACTGCCTAAAAATGTTACATACTGTCTGAAAAAGTTGAATCCAGATTGTTTCACCAGTTATTACATCCAAAAACCAATCACAATATTCACAACAAATCATTTTCAGTAACTCCATCAATGCAAGCTCTTCATTATCAAATAAATATATTACTAATTACTAATTATTAATTATTATTAATAATAATACCATTTTCAATGGCAGTGCACACGCTATTCGTCATGGATCCAGAAGAACTACTTTCCGTTAGAGTGTTAGTGGTTGTTAGGCTTTGATCTATAGAACTATAATAATTAACTTAAAATCAGATTATTAATTACAATTAATAATAAATGATAATTGAAAAACTCACTTCTGGCTTTCAATTCGTCGCATTGTTGTGTATAACATCGTGGATTGTGTCTAAAGACGGATAAGCCATCAGTCTGCGTTCTTCTGATGATCTTTTCCTAGAAAAAAGATAATGGACTTTCTTAAAGGTGTTCTGTAAATATAGTTTTAAATTGTTTGAGATTTTTATGTAGTTGAAGGCGTTTTATTAACTTCCCGAAGGAAAGTTTATGTTTTCATCAAAAAAATCCGATTCGCTAATTTTATGTTTTCTCGACGTTTCAAGCCATTCTGAATCGAATGAGACCAAATTTGGAAAAAGTATGTGTGTGTGTGTGAGTGTGTATGTGTGTGTGTGTGTGTGTGAACAAATTTTTTGCCGTAATCGCCGTTTTCTCAAAAACGGCTGGACCGATCTCAAAAATTTAAAAGCCATTCGAAGTATCTCGATGAGACTATTGTTTGTCAGTTTTGTGCGACGATCGGCCAAGCCGTTTCTTCGTAAATAGCAGAAAAGTGTAAAGTTTTTCGTCCACGTTTTAGCCCGCAGTTCTGAATGGATTTTGAAAATTCAAAAACCGTTCGAAAGATATTGATTGGGAATCGTGCTGATTAGTTTTTGGTAAAGATCGGCCGGGCCGTTTTCTTGTAATAAAGTTTTTTAAAACAAAAATGTCGACGCTTTTTATGATTATTTTTTTGACGGTAGATACCATAGTCTTGTATATCATATTAAAATATTACGGCCCTACGACAACTGGTTCAGCTTTAAAAATTCGTCAAAGTTTGCACAAATTGGTATCGTTTTTTTTCGGCATTTGTCAAAATTAGACCTTTGATCGAAGTTTTCTCAAAAACGTCTGAGCCGATTTTAGAAATTTAAAAGCTATTTGATGTATTTCTGTGAAGACTATCGTTTGTCAATTTTGTGTAACGATCTGCCAAGCCGTTTCTTTGCAATTTGAAAAAAAGTGTTGAACTTTCGTCCACATTTAAGCTCATCCTACCGAATCGATTTTAAAAAATCAAAAACTGTTCGAAAGATATTAGTTGGGAAATGATACTGATTAGTTTTAGGTGAAAATCTGCCGACCGTTTTTCTTGTAATTAACTGTTAAAAAAAATTTAAGCCGATTTTTATGGAACTTTTTTTGGCGATATACATCATGGTCTTATAGAACATACTGTAATATTACGGCCTTGCGACAAGTAGTTTAATTTTAAAATTCGTCAAACTTTGCTAAAATTATTATCGTTTTTTTTAAGTAGGATTGATGAAGTATATTATTAACATTTACACTTTTTTTTTTTTTTGATTAAGTCGATTATTACACATATCGGGAAGTTCATGTAACTTGCCTA